TCGCAATAAAGTCTTTCTGGCGGGCATTAGCTATTTGTCCGGCACTAAAAAGAACACACTTAACATAATTTGACAACTTCTTTTTATTTATTCAATCATCTTTCATGTTTTAAAATTTATGTCATTTATTTATTACATCCCATATTTATTGTGTTACCAAGGAACTTGTACAAAGTTTTTAAATAATAGTATCAGGCCCACACTTTTCATCCATATACACCACCCCCTTCAGTGATTCACAGATAGGATCCTATTAATACTTTCTTCACGTTATTTTTCTTTTTTTCAGCAACAAATTTCTTAGAAAATTAGTCTAGATTCCATTGCCTTACATGCCATACCATTCAATTTTAACTGCATTCTTGTTTAAACACTGTTGAGAACCTTTAAGAAGAAGTATAATACGTTCCTAGGTGCTGAGAGGAAGTAAGTAAGAGAGACTTGGGTCAATAAAAGTAAGTGTTATTATATTTTTTATTACTATGACTATTCAATAATGACTTTCCCAGTGGTCATGAAACTCCTTGTCACTGCTTTCCTCTCATCTTTATAAACTCTTTTCACTAAATGGTCTCTTTCATTCATAAGGTTCTATTTATAAATTATTGACTCCTAAATCCCATGGCTTTTTCTCAGCCTTCATCTTCTTCTTTGATGCATTAATTGTCACAAATTAGACGTTCAAGCTTTCTTGTCTTTTGGCTTCCATGATGTTTTGCTACCTCTCTGATTTATTTGGTAGCCCTTCCTTCTCCTTCTGGCCTCTGAATATAGACTGTCTCAACATTTATACTCTTGAACTTCTTTTCTCACTCAACATTCTACTTTTATCTGTAATCTTCATACCTATGACTCTCAAATTGAAACCTAAAATTCTAGATATTCCCCTAGAACCAAGACCTGCATTCCAAAATGTCTGCCTATAATCTTTACCCTGTTATTTCTCTAACCTTTAAACTTATTCAGCCCTATTATTTTCCTCTCAAAATTTTTCTTCCTTAACCAGATTTTCTTGGTGGCAATAATGTTTTCCAGTCATCCAGGTTGAAGTTGCAAAGTGACTTTTAAGGTCACGTTTCTTGGTAAATCCTAGCTAAAAGTAGAGCAGTCCTCTCTAGTCTATGAAAGTCCTCTTCTTTGAATATCTACCTTTTTATAAGCTCCCCATATTGATCAATGAGGAATAAAGGGAACTGTCATTTCCAAGCCAGGTGACAAAAAATCAACCCTGGAGACCATAGTCTCCATGAGAAAGGAGAGCACAATATGACTACAATATATGAATCATTTGAAAAAATTTCTCCTTCTCTGGTGCTCTCCACATTCAACGAGGTGCCAAGCCATATACGTTTGTCTTTTTCAAGGGTCAAAAGGAATGAATACACAGATTGAGCTCTAAAGATATTCATCACAGTGTTACTTATATTAATAATATTAGAAATTTTAGATTCCCAACAATAAAGCATTGATTGATTAGTAATGTTTTACATACAAAATGTGTGATGAATAATCTGCAGCAATTTAAAATTCGGTGTAATAGTCTATTCATTAATATTTGTTGTTGTTAGTGCCATCGAGTCGATTCCAACTCCTAGCAACTCTCTGTACAGCAGAGAGAAACCCTACTCATGTCTTTTTTGCACCATCCTCTCATCTCCTGGTGCTATTTCAGACAATACTCCACTGCTATTCATAGGGTTTTCATGGCCAATTTTTTTGGAAGTGGGTGGCCAGGTCCTTCTTCCTAGTCTGTCTTAGTCTGGAAGCTCTCCTGAAAACTCTCCACCATGGGTGACCCTGCTGGTATTTGAAATATTGATGGCATAGCTTTCAGCATCACAGCAATACACAGCTGTCACAGTATGACAACTGACAGATGGGTGGGTGGTGTGGTTCCCTGACCAGGAAATGAACCTGGACCATAGCAATGAGTGCACCAAATCTTAACCACTAGACAACTGGGGCTGGCTTTATTAATCTAGAAAGATATTTATATGCATTGCTGAGTTAAAAAAAAAAAAAGAGGTTGGAAAAACAGAAATAGGATATCCCAAGAAAAAATAATAAGGACTATTATTTGCTTCAAACTGTTACCAGTAGATTTCTATATATAAATGTAATGAATGTATTTTCATTGTATGCCATGGAACGCTTGAAAAAGAAATTAAAAAAATAAAGTAGATTTAGAATAGCCTAAATAACTTAAATACTTATTTTCACAGAAAATATAATTCAGAAAGTACACTAAATATCAAGTCCAAACTCACTTTACATGTCTTATGGCAACTGAAGTTGAATGATTTGTTCTATTTCATATATCTGGTTATGACAGTGTGATATTTGAGGCTTCTAACACTGTTCTATTAATACCCACTATTTTCCTATCATTGTTGACATGTTAAATGCATCCACTTTGGACGTTTTAAGCATGTGTGAAAATTAATGCATCCTCAAAGCTTGAGAATATTCACCTTTATGGAAACCAAATAGCATTTTAAAGAAGGAATTTTGGGGCATAATTTGCATTTGAATTTCTTTTGTTCCTTTTTCAATGGATTAGATTAGTCAGGGTTCTCCAGAGAAACAGAACCAGTAGGATATATCTATATTTATATCAATATCTATATAGGTATATAGCTGTTTGTCTATACATCTATATCTATATCTAGAGAGAGAAAGATTTATTATAAGGACTTGGCTCACACAATGACGTCAGGCTGAGAAGTTCCATGATCTGCCATCTGCAAGCTGGAGGCCCAGGAAAGCAGGTGGCATAGTTTCAGTCCAAGCCCAAAGGCTTGAGAATAAGGGAAGCCGATGGTGTAAAGTCCCAGTCCAAGTCCAAAGGCCCAAGAACCAGGGGAGCTGATGCTGTAAGCTCCAGTCCAAGTGCAGAAGACCCAAGTCCCAGCTCCACCATTAGGACAAAGAGGGAATTCTTCCTCCAACTTTTTGTTCTATTTGGGCCTTCAACAATTGGTAGAGGCCCACCCATATTAGGGAGGCCAATCCACTTTACTCAGTCTACCAGTTCAAATGCTAATCTCATCTGGCAACACCCTCACAGACATGCCCAGAAACAATGTTTAGCCAAATATCGGGCACCCAGAATCCAGTCAAGTTGACAGTAAAATCAACCATCACAGTGACTTTAGGGAAACTGCATAACTTTTCTGAGCCTCAGGCACTTTGTATGCAAAATAGAGGGAATACTATCTATTCCACTGGGCTATATTAAGGCTTAAATAAGATAAACTAAAATTAAGAGACCAACCTTACCCTTGCACATAATGACTATTCAATCAATGACAATTCCTTTTCCTCTCTCTCCCTGTATTGCTTATGAAAAGATCAATTCAGTTATACTATAAGCCTATTGTTATGGGTTGAATTGTGTCTCCCCAGCCAAAAAAATTCATATGTTCAAGACCTAACTGCCAATATCTTATAATGTAACTATATTTGGAGATAGGGTCCATAGATGTAATCAAGTTACAAAGATAATCAAGTTAAAACAAGGTCATTAGAGTGGGCCCAAATCCAATATGACAGGTATGCTTATAAAAAGGGAAAAATTTGGACACAGAGACACACATACAGGGGGAACTCCATGTAGAGATTGGAGTTATGTCGTCACAAGTCAAAGAATTACCAGAAGCTATGAGAGAGGCCTGCAACAGATTCTTTCCTAGCACCTTCAGAAGAAGCATGGCCCTGCCAGACTTCTAGCCTCCAGAGCTGTGAGACAATAAATTTTTGTTGTTTAGGCCACTCAGTTTGTGGTACTTTGTTATAGCAGCCCTAGGGAACAAATACATCTGTATTTCTTAGATTGACCATTCCTTGTAATGACATCTCTTATGAACAATTCTTTATTAGTCCTTATTAGGATCTGTAAGGTCCTTCTTTTCCAATTTCAAGGAAAGTAGATCTAAAACTCCTTCTGGCCCAACAGTTAGTTAATATGCCTTTTTAAGAATGGAGAAGATAAGGCATCTCCCTGCTATATGTGATCCTGGTTCTAGTTTTTCAGTATCTTACTAAGCCTAGGCTACTCATACAGGTCATGGGTTGATGGAACAGATAGGTAAGCATAAGATAGATGGATGGATGAACGGGTAGCTGGATAGATAGATAGATGAGTGTAGAAAGAGAGAAAGAGACCTCTATTTCTATCCTTGTACATATGTCTATAGCTGTAGCTACATTATCTATATCTATATATGTCCTTCTTTTTAATAAACATAATACCACATGCTTTTCCCCCCACTTTATCAAAAACTTGCTACAAATGTCATTTTACTAAAATTGTCATGTCATACTCTCTTATACATTTGTACTTTTATGACTTACCAACCATTGACAGATTGTTAGTTAACTGATACCCCTTCGCCTTTTTGCCACATCTTTTCAAATAAAGCCTTGTCCACATTTCAGAATAGTTCCTTACATAGTGCACCAGAAGAGCCATTACCAGGCTAAAGGCTATAAACATTTTTAAATATTCTTGATACTTACTGCCAAATTGCTTTGCGGAAAAGCTGGTGTTCTTTCCTTTTGGGTTTAATCCCAAAACAATTATTTGTAGCAAGGGAAGGAAATAAGGTCATGGAGAGTAGTGAGAGATTTACTGTTCACCTGCCACAAACAGGTAATGAATATTTCCTTATGAAAAAGCTCAAAGCCATGCATAGTGCTTACATAGCATGTAGGTAATTTGAGAAATCTCTGGTTCAATCTTTCTGGAACCCACCGTTTAAATGCAATATAGGGTATTAAATCATCAGCTCATGTACTGAGCAGAAGGCATCTCTCTCCTCTCCGTTCTGTGGGATGTTTCTACTGACCTGCACACTTGAGTGTTTAGTTCTGAGATAAGTTTCAATAAACTGTTGTCACTTGAAACTAAACAGTCTGGATAATGTATGGTCCATTTGGAATGCTGAAAAAATAAACAACCTATGACATGCTTCCTTCTTGTCTTTGCAGCCCTTTTTGGAATGTGTGCTCCAGAGACCTCACTTTCTTCCCCAAAGCAGAAGGTTTTATTTAAAATAAAGCTGTTTATTTGGCACTTCTGGGCAACCGTCTTTTGAAGAACCACAGCAATGGGGGGCTTTAGAGCCCCACTTCGAAAAAACCAGTTCATCCTCCTGGTGCTCTTTCTTTTGCAAATTCAGAGTCTGGGTCTGGACATCGATAGTCATCCTACCGCTGAAGTCTGTGCCACTCACACAATTTCACCAGGACCCAAAGGTGAGGAGAGAAAAACAAAATTTTCATGCATAATAAATAGGCTCTCTTCCCTCATCTTTCAACCCCACTCTAGCTCTCAGTGACTTTCTCTTCCCTCCTCCCTAGCATCCTCCCACTTTCCTTCTATTTTGGAAAATCAATGGCCTGTTACTTATTTTAAAATCTCTCTTGATGTTAGGTAAGAGAATACTGGGAGGGGGTGAAACCCCAGGGCAGGGATGCGATAGAACTCCGCCAGGGAAGGGGGAAATCCCCTCTTCCATGCTGTTCCAAGTGAAGATACACAAGCAAGACATTAGACTTCAAGAATTCTTTCCTTTAGAGCATTTCCATTCTTGTGCTGTTTTTATTCCAACTCTTTTCTCATACTGATTCTGGTAAAGCTACTAGGCAAAAGCTCATTAAGTAAAAATTAAATCTTTTGTATATGTCATAAATTAATGGGCTCCTGGGTTCCAATGAAGTAAAAACTTTTTGTCAAAGATTGAGGTATTTTTTAAATGAACATTTCTTTATTTGAAAGTGGAGTCTTTGGGGCCAAGTGCCTTCAGCTGAAGGATGATAGAATATTGCAAAATTTTTTCAAGTAGAGCCAAGGTCTAAATGTGCTTCAAGCAACTGGTTGATAAAAAATGCTGCTGTTTTCCTGGTTTCAGCTCTGACACTTTTGTTCTGAAAGTGGTCACTGCAATGAAAATTGGTGCTCCCTCATTAGTAATTCATGCTATTTCTCTAGGCTATAGGGTCAAAGAATTGCAGCTGCTTAAAATTTTAAGTAAAAAGAAAGGGTCTTTAAAAAAAAAAAAAACAGAAATACATTGCCCTATGCTTGTCAGTTATTTAAATGTATATTGCTTAAAGTGCATTTTTCTTAATCAGTGAATTAATTTCCTCCTAAGATTGCAATCTAAGTTTTAACCTTTGATACCATAAAATAAATGCAAGGAGGAACAATAAGACCTTGGGGCTTCCAAATAATTTCTTGGGTGAATGAATGAATAATGTGAGGGCAAATGTTCAGAAAAGAAAGTTTTGGTTAGAAATAAAAGTATTTACTTAAAACCATTACTGGACTTTCCGTAGAGTATAGGAAACTTCGTATTTTTCCTGAGGTGTCACGGAAAATGCTGAAAATTAAAGTTTTCCTTGTCTCTGAAAGTGGGAGAACCCATTTACCCATTTGAGAATAGCACTGTCAAACAATTTTCCTTGCAAAGAAACTGCAACTTTCAAACTGGAAGCAGAATGGACAAAGATGATTAAAATAATGTCCAAAATATAATGCATTCCAATTCAACAATTCTACTTATTTCCATTCAGCCAATGTATATTGAGTACCTATTAAGAGCTAAGCAATATTTTAGTAACAAGAAATGCATTAAACAATATATACTTATGTCATGAACAATGGAGAGAGAAATAATTTAGGAGAGAGAACAGAAGGCAATTAACATTTGTTAGATACCAGCAGAGTATCCACCATGAGTCTTCTTTCTCTCATTTCTTTACTTAACACAAAACTTCTACCTTACTGTTAGAAACCCTGTTAAGATTTCAAAGAATGGAAACCTCTTTAACTCTCTTCATGAGACTGTGTAGAAATTATGAGATGGTTACAAGCCAGAAATGTGACAGAATGAAGTGAGTGCTCCTGGGGAAGAGAAACTTAGGAAGGGTCCCTCTAGAATCCTGGGTTCCAGAACTAAGTCTGTTATGGACCTGAAGTGATTTCTTCTTCTTCCCCCAGACCCTGGGGACTTTGCATCAAATGGATTCCAAGTTACCTTCTTATTAAAAAGATTCCACATTTCTGAAATATACTATAGGGGAGGAAGATTATCCTCTACCCACTCTGGGTCCTTCTGGCTGGGATACGAATTAAATTGACATGAGACAGAGTAATGGGAGAAAATCAAACAGAGCTTTATAACATATATACATGGGAGAAACCCAGGGAACTGGGTAACTCAACAAAATAGCGGGGGTTCTCACCTTAAATACTATCTTCAGCTAAAGACAAAGGAGGATGTTGGGGGTCAGGGGAGTCAGCTCTGGGAGATTACCAGAAAAGCACAGTAAACAAGAGTATGCAGATTTAAGTCCTTGCCTTCCACATTGATAAGAGTTTCAAGAGATAAGGTCATCCCCCCTTCTTCCTGGTACAGAGAAGGAGACACTTTTACAAATGGAGATTTCTCATATAAATGTAAATGTCTCTTACAAAGGATATCTTCTACTTTTACTTGGTTTTCAGAGCTTTGATAAGAATGGCCTTGGCAAGGACCTTCCCAGTCTATCCATACCCAGAGTTATCTATGGTGATGGCCTGTCCTGTGGACAGGCCTTCTATCTTAAATCCTTTTAGGCAGTTAGTGGTGGTGGGGGGGGGGGTCAAAGTTTCTTTCAGAGTAAATAATCAAGGTAAAGAGACATATTTTGAGGTGGCCCCCCACATACCAAATGCTACTAAGTGCCCAACATCATGTTGGATGCTACAGGTTTCAGATTAAGGAAGAACTCGTCCTAGAACTTGTATTTACATTTCAGGCTGAGTAGTAGATTGCAAACTCTTGGGGTCAAGGCCCAGTTAACTCGTTTTTTTCTTTGCAAATTGCCTCTACATGCACATGGAACGACATGAGCATATTCATTACTGCCCTTCCTCTGCTCCAGGCATTATGCTAGATGTGGATACAACGAAAAATAAGACATAGTTTTTTGTCTTGTCTCAAGATATAAACTGTCATTTACCCTACTTCATTTCTTCATGAACATGATGACAGCCCCTTCCCACCCATGAACAAGGCAGATTTGTATATTTATCTCTACAAAATGAAAAAAATTTTAAAAAGCTTGATAGCTAAGCGAACATTTTAAAAGACTAGGTTATTGCTTCTGTTCAATATATTTTTCCTAAGAGCAAGCTGGTCTATGTTTTTCTCCATGGCTACTCCTCTCAATACCATATTTATCAGTACTGTGCTCAGAAACTTCTAGATACTTTGAGAAACAGACAATAAAAGAAGTTTTCCCTAAATTCATTTGGGAGACTGGGAACTAAATGCATTATTTAGAGTTGCGGGTGGAAAACCAGTAATGTTAACCTGTCATATAATATATTGTCCAATATAGAGACACATTTTTTGGGTTTTTTTTGGTGAGGAAGATTAGCCCTGAGCTAACATCTGTTGCACATCCTCCTCTTTTTGCTGAGGAAGATTGGCCCTGGGCTAACACCCATGCCCATCTTCCTCTACTTCCTATGTGGGATGCCTGCCACAGCATGGCTTGATAAGCAGTGCATAGGTCCGCACCTGGGATCCAAACATGTGAACCCTGGGCCACTGAAGCGGAGCATGCAAACTTAACCACTACACCACCAGGCTGGCCCCCTGAGACACCATTTTTTTAACTGTATTATTTCCCAAGCATCACAGTGGAAAGACATCAGATTTAAACTGTTTGATTTTCGGTATGTTATTACATCTATTCATGCTTCAGTTTCTTTATTTGAAAAATGAGCCTCATCATAGACCTGTTTTAAGAATAATATAAGATAATCAATGTAAACTTTAAGGTATTTAGACATCATAAATAGACACAACAAATTCTATTTATCTTCCTTCCCTTCCCTATCTGAGTCTGTTGAGTAACAATTTTGGGAAAAAGCATTGCTCCAGTTATCAAAACATCTTTGTTAAGGGGCAAACCGGTGGTGTAGTGGCAAAGTTCGCAAACTCTGCTTCGGCAGCCTGGGGTTCGCAGGTTTGGATCCCAGGCACAGACCTAAGCACCACTTGTCAAGCCATGCTGTGGCAGGCGTCCCACATATAAAGTAGAGGAAGATGGGCATGGATGTTAGCCCAGGGCCAATCTTCCTCAGCAAAAAGAGGAGGATTGGCAACAGATGTTAGCTCAGGGCTAGTCTTCCTTACGAAAAAAAAAAAAAAAAACCTTTGCTAAAATCATCTTTATTTTTCTTTCTATGCCTTAAATTTATTATTTTACGCTGCTTAGTGAGAAAATGCTTTTTTTCCCAATTTGGTGATTTCTTTAAACAATTTATGTAAAATTCTGACCTCTAGTGGTTTTACTTGAAAACAGCAATGACGAGAAATTTTAACAAGAAATGTTAAAAAGAACAAGAAATTCAACAAGAAATATTTGGACGACATTTCACAGTTTCCAAGAAACTTTCAAATACACTGTCTTATCTAATTTTCACAATTGGCGTATGCAGTAGCAATTACTTTAAACTTAAAGATAAGGAGACAATCTCAATGAAGCCAAGTGAAGGCCCCAAGGTCTTTCACACAGATACGTAGCTACAGTATAGTCTTGCAATTTGAACTTTACCCCGGCCCTCTGCTTCCGGGTCCAGTGTTGTTCCATGACATCCACTGGTTTCTATTACAATCAGGTTTGAAAATACAGTCCACTGACTTCTTTTTGATCAGAAATGGATCAGAAAATGCCTAAGAACATAGAGTTGATGCAACTTCACAGCCCAACATTGTACTGGATACTAAAATATGCTGAAAGTGATGACGTGCCTCCTCTTTAGTAATTAACTCCTTGACTTCATTAGTTTGTTTGGAAATTAATGATATTGCACCCTATTGCTAATTTTGGCTTCTGCTAGCTTTTCAGTTTAGGAGCGTTTTCTTTCAATACCGTTGTTGTAGGTGTGGCCTAAGAGGTCCTTTGCAATCTGTCTACCTTTTCCCTACTTCTCCCATGTCAAACTGCTTTTCCACTTAAAGTTTGCTTCAGGCATCCTTGCTTTGTCTCTCATTCCCGACCCAGGATCTTTGCACTTGATGTTCCCTCTGTGTGGCCCAACCTTACCCCAGATCTTCCCAAGGATTGTTCCTTCTCCTCATTCAGGTTTTAGCTCAAATGCCATTTGCGTAGTGAGGCCCTGCCTGACCACCCCACTCTCTGTCATAGTTCCCAAGATATTTTATTGTTTTCACAGACTTACTACCAAATGGAAATCT